ACCTTGGCGGACCCTGAGGAACCTGGACCCACGAGACCCAGAAGGCTCCTGCAGATCATCATGCAAACCCACTCTCTCCACCTCTCCCCATTCCTCATTCCCATCCCCCCAATCCTCCCACCCCAAAGCTTTCTCCTAACTCCACCGACCCCATCCAGCGTGCCCTTGGCAATGCCTGCTCCATAGACAACATAGTTCTTTCATCTTCAATCTAGTCTTCTCCCACTCTTTCCATCTACTAGCTCTCAGTGAAACCAGGCTCTCCACAGTGACCCAGCCCCCTGGCCCCCCCCAGTGACCCAGCCCCCTGGCCCCCTCAATGACCCAGCCCCCTGGCCCCCCCTCCCCAGTCTTGGCTGCTCCTTCTCTCATTCTCATTGGCTCACTGGTAATGGGAGAAGAGTTGGAATCCTCTTTACTCCCCATTGCCATTTCCAGGTTCTCCCCCTTCCTCCTTCACTTATTAACTCTCTTCCTTTGAGGTTTAGATGTTTAATCTCTATCGCCCAATAAAAAACATGGTAGCTGGTGTCTACAGAACCCTGGGTCATTCCCCTTCCTTCCTAAATGAGTCTGATACCTGGCTCACAATTTTTCTCTCCTCCCCAACTCAGGCCCTTAAAGTAGGTGATTCCACATAAATAATGCCTTTCCTTTTTTTTTTTATAAACTCTTCTTTTGTTTTATTTTTAAAAAAATTTTTATATTATGGTAATTTTTATTTATTTTTTTGTTTTCAACATTTACTTCCACAAGATTTTGAGTTCCAAATTTTCACCCGATCTTGCCCCTCCCCCCACCCCAAGATGGCATGCATTCTAAATACCCCTGCCCCAATCTGCCCTCCCTTCTATCTCTCCCCCCCTTCTCTTATCCCCTTCCCCTTCAATTTTCCTGTAGGGCAGGATGGACTTCTGTACCCTATTTCCGTATTTCTTATTTCCCAATTGCATGTGAAAACATTTTTTTTAAACATGTGCTTTTAAAATTTTGGGTTCCAAATTTTCTCCCTTTCTCCCTCCCCACCCACCCTCATTGATAAGGCAAGCTACTAAATATAGGCTATACATGTGCAGTTATGTAGAACACTTCCATAGTAGACATGCTGTGAAAAACTAACTCTATTTCCCTTAATCTTATCCTGCTCTCCCTCATTTATTCTATTATTTCTTTTGACCCTGATCCTCCTCAGAAGTATTTGCTTCTGATTACCCCCTTTCCCAATCTGCCCTCCTCTCTATCATTCCCCTACTCCCTTGTCCCCTTCCCCCCCACATTTTCCTGTAGGGTGAGACAGATTTCCACACCCAATTGAGTGTGTATGTTATTCCCTCCTTAAGCCAAATTCTATGAGAATAAGATTCACTCATTACCTCTCACCTTTCCCCATTTCCCCTCCACTGCAAGAGCCTTTTCTTTTTTGGGTTTTTTTTTTTTTGTGAGATAATTTACCCCGTTCTACCTCTCCCTTTCTCCTTCTCCTAGTATAATCTTCTCTCATCCCTTAATTTTATTCTCCAGATATGACCTCTTCATTTTCAACTCACCCTGTGCCCTCTATCTATCTATCTACATCTATATATACGTACATAAAATTTTTTCCCCTCCAACTACCCTAATACTGACAAAGGTCTCATGAGTTACAAATATCATCTTTCCATGCAGAAATGTAAACAGTTCAACCTTAATAAGTCTCTTATGATTTTCTCTTTCCTGTTTATCTCTTCATGTTCCACTTGAGTCTTGTATTTGAAAATCAAATTTTCTATTCAGCTCTGGTCTTTTCATCAAGAATGCTTGAAAGTCCTTTGTGTCACTGAATGACCATTTTTTCCCCCGCAGAAATATACTCAGTTTTGTTGGGTAGGTGATTCTTGGTTGTAATCCTATCTCCTTTGCTCTCTGGAATATTATATTCCATGCCCTGCAGTCCCTTAATGTAGAAGCAGCTAAATCTTGTGTTATCCTGATTGTGTTTCCACAATACTTGAATTGTTTCTTTCTGGCTGCTTGTAGTATTTTCTCCTTGACCTGGGAACTCTGGAATTTGGCTACAATATTCCTAGGAGTTTTCCTTTGGGGATCTCTTTCAGGGGGAGATCGGTGGATTCTTTCAATTTCTATTTTGTCCTCTAGTTCTATAATATCAGGGCAGTTTTCCTGGATAATTTCTTGAAAGATGATGTCTAGGCTCTTTTTCTGATAATGGCTTTCAGATAGTCCAATAATTTTTAAATTGTCTCTCCTGGATCTATTTTCCAGGTCAGTTGTTTTTCTTTCTTTCTTTTTTCTTTTTCTGTTTCTTCTTTCTTTACATTTAAAAAAAAATGAAATTCCACAAGATTTTGAGTTCTAAATTTTTACCCTATCTCACCTCTCCCCCCACCCCAAGTTGGCATGCATTCTAAATACCCCTTCCCCTAGTCTGCCTTCTCTTCTATCTCTCCCCCCTTCTCTTATCCCCTTCCCCTTCAATTTTCCTGTAGGGCAGGATGGATTTCTGTACCCCATTTCCTGTATTTCTTATTTCCCAGTTGCATGTGAAAACTTTTTTTTAAACATGTGTTTTTAAAACTTTGGGTTCCAAATTTTCTCCCTTTCTCCCTCCCCACCCACCCTCATTGATAAGGCAAGCAACTAAATATAGGCTATACATGTGCAGTTATGCAGAACACTTCCATAGTAGACATGCTGTGAAAAAATAACTGTATTTCCCTTAATCCTATCCTGCCCTCCCTCCATTTATTCTATTCTTTCTTTTGACCCTGTCCCTCCTCGGAAGTATTTGCTTCTGATTACCCCCTTTCCCAATCTGTCCTCCTCTCTATCATTCCCCTACTCTCTTGTCCCCTTCCACCCCCCACTTTCCTGTAGGGTAAGACAGATTTCCACACCCAATTGAGTGTGTATGTTATTCCCTCCTTAAGTCAAATCCTATGAGAATAAGATTCACTCATTCCCTCCCACCTTCCCCCATTTCCCCTCCACTGCAAGAGCCTTTTCTTTTTTGGGTTTTTTTTTTGTGAGATAATTTACCCCGTTCTACCTCTCCCTTTCTCTTTCTCCTAGTATAATCCTCTCTCACCCCTTAATTTTATTCTCCAGATATGACCCCTTCATTTTCAACTCACCCTGTGCCCTCTATCTATCTATCTATATCTATATATATATATGTATATAAAAATTTTTCCCCTCCAACTACCCTAATACTGACAAAGGTCTCATGAGTTACAAATATCATCTTTCCATGCAGGAATGTAAACAGTTCAACCTTAATAAGTCTCTTATGATTTTCTCTTTCCTGTTTACCTCTTCATGTTCCACTTGAGTCTTGTATTTGAAAGCCAAATTTTCTATTCAGCTCTGATCTTTTCATCAAGAATGCTTGAACGTCCTCTCTGTCACTGAATGACCATTTTTTCCCCTGCAGGAATATACTCAGTTTTGTTGGGTAGGTGATTCTTGGTTGTAATCCTATCTCCTTTGCTCTCTGGAATATTATATTCCATGCCCTGCGGTCCCTTAATGTAGAAGCAGCTAAATCTTGTGTTATCCTGATTGTGTTTCCACAATACTTGAATTGTTTCTTTCTGGCTGCTTGTAATATTTTCTCCTTGACCTGGGAACTCTGGAATTTGGCTACAATATTCCTAGGAGTTTTCCTTTGGGGATCTCTTTCAGGGGGAGATCGGTGGATTCTTTAAATTTCTATTTTGCCCTCTGGTTCTAAAATATCAGGACAGTTTTCCTGGATAATTTCTTGAAAGATGATGTCTAGGCCCTTTTTTTGATCATGGCTTTCAGACAGTCCAATAATTTTTAAATTGTCTCTCCTGGATCTATTTTCCAGGTCATTTCTTTTTCCAATGAGATATTTCACATTGTTTTCTAATTTTTTATTCTTTTGGATTTGTTTTACAGTGTCTTGATTTCTCATAAAGTCACTAGCTTCCAACTGCTCTATTCTAATTTTTAAGTAACTATTTTCTTCAGTAATCTTTTGGACTTCCTTTTCCATTTGGCCAATTTTGCTTTTTAGGGCATTCTCCTTCTCATTGGCTTTTTGGACCTCTTTTGCCATTTGGGTTAGGCTATTTTTTAAGGTGTTATTTTCTTCAGTATGTTTTGGGTCTCCTTTAGCAAGCTATTGACTTGTTTTTCATGATTTTCTTGCATCACTCTCAGTTTTTCCTCTACTTCTCTTACTTGCTTCTCAAAATCCCTTTTGAGCTTTTCCAAGGCCTGGGACTGATTCATATTTTTCTTGGAGGCTTTGAATGTAGGAGCTCTGGCTTTGTTGTCTTCTTCTGGTTGTATGTTTTGATCTTCTTTGTCACCAAAGTAAGATAATATAGTCTGACTCTTTTTGCACTGCTTACTTATGATCCTGGCCAATTACTTGAGTTTTAAACTCTTTGTTAAGGTAAAAGTCTGCTTCCAATGTGGAGAATGTACTGTCCCAAGCTTTGGGGGTTTGTATAGCTGTTTTCAGAGATACTTCTAGGGACCTGTAAATTTTCATTTCTTCCAAGGTGGTATGATAAGCAGTGAGGTGTTTCCTCTCTACAGACACAACAGGCTCCACCGCACCAGTGCTCTTCCTCGCCCCAGGACCACCCCTCAGAACTGTGACCCAGATCCAAGCACCAGTAAAGCAAGAGATTCCTGCCTCGGCACTGGCAAAGAGATCCCTGCAATGCCCCTCTGATCAGCCACTCAATTCCCCCTCAGTCTGTGGGCTAGAAGCTCAGGAAACAGCCGTGGCCCGGAGGGTGGCTGAGACCTAGCTCCTTCTCTCACCGCAGTCACAGACTTTTCCCACTGACCTTCTAAGTTATCTTTGGTGTTCGTGGGTTGAGAAGTCTGGAAATCACCACAGCTGCCCGCAATTCAGCCCTCTGAGGCCTGCTCCAGGGTTGCTGTGGCCTGTGCGCGCATGCCAAACTGCACTCCTCTCCCAGCCCAACACAATATACCTTTCCAATCAACCATCCAGGCTAACTTTGGCTGGAAATTTGTTTCACTCTGTTTTTTTGTGGGTTCTGCTGCTTTAGAATTTGTTTAAAACCATTTTTTACAGGTATTTGGAAGGGTTTGGGGGGAGAGCTCAAACAAGTCACTGCTTTCCCTCCGCCATTTTGGCTTCACCCCAATAATGCCTCTCTTTCAAACTAACCATTCATTCCTCCACCTCCAACCTACTCCAGCTATACACAAAGATGGTCATACCCTTGATGTTGCCATCACCCACAAATGGGCTACTTCTGTGGTCCAGAATTCTGAAATCCCCTTATCTGACCATAATCTACGGGTTGTTCACCTCTCTCTCAGTCTTCCCTTACACAACCCTATTCTTCATCCACACCGTAACCTCAAATCCCTTGACCCTTCAACTCACCCCCAGGTTGTCGTCCTCTCCTCTTCTCCCCACCCTGACCCCTTGGTGAACCAGTAAAACAGTACATTTGCACTCTTCTCTTGAACCCCAACCCCTTTATGATGTCTCCGATTACACCCAGCTGAGTCTCAGCCTTAGATCACTTCAACCATTTGTCACTTTTGCTCTTACACCCTTGCTGCTAAATAAAGATAGAGAAAATTATGCAACCATTCTGACTGGGTCTTCTACAAATTTATGTTACACAGCCTCACCTGAGCCCTCACTGCTGCGAGGCAATTCTACTCTACCTCCCTTATGAATCCCCTGTCCCCCTCTGCACAGCAGCTCTTTGAAACCTTCTCATCTCTCCTCAAATCTCCCATGGCTCCCCTTCCTCCTACTCTCCATTGAGACCATGCCTCCCATTTTACAGAAAAAACAGGCCATTCACCTTGAGCTCCTTCTCCTCACCTCCCGTCACTCAGGGCTTTCTGTCTCTTCCTTCCTTTCCCCATCTCACATGATGAGGTGGCCTGACTCCAGACCAAGGCTGACCCCTCAAAAAGTCCTCATTTGATTACTCCGTCCCCAGTAATTATGGTCCTGTAGCTTTTTGCCCTTGGTGGTGAAACTCCTCAAAAAGGCTTCAAAGGCTACTAAATGTGCCTCCACTTTCTCTCCTCCCACTCTTTTTAACCCCTATAATCCAGCTTCTGACCTTATCATTCCCCTGAAAGTGCTCTCTCCAAAGTGACTAATGATAACTCAGTGGCCAAAACCAATGGCTCTCACCTAGTCCTCATCCTTCCTGACCTCTCTGTAGCTTCTAGCAACCCCAGCATTGGTTGATCCCCCTTCATAGATATTCTCTCCTCTCTAGGTTTTCTGGACACTGCCCTCTCCTGGTTCTCCTCCTCTCAAGTATGTGACCACACCTTCTCTGATTCCTTGGCCTTGCTCATGCCCTCTCAGGTGTTCCTCAGGGCTCTGTCCTGCATCCTCTTCTCTTTTCCCTCCATACCTCTTCACTTGGGGGTTTTATCGGCTCACATGGATTTAATTATCATCTCTATGCTAATGGTTCTCAAATTGACCTTTCCTGCACCAATCTCCTTGTTGATCTCCATCTGCCTTTCTGACATCCTGAACTGGATGACCAGTTTTCTAGTTCAGTTGTTTTTCAGGCATGTCCAACTCTTTATGACCCCATTTGGGGTTTTCTTTTCAAAGATACTGGAGTGGTATGCCATTGCCTTCTCCAGATCATTTTATAAGATGGCCATGGTCATCTTAAATTCAAAATGTCCCAAACAGAAATCATCATCTTTCCATTTAAACTCTCACTCCTACCTTTTCTATCACTGTAAAGGGCAACACTATCCTTTTAGTCCCCAGGCTCACAACCTAGGAGCCAGCCTGAATTCCTCAGTATCTCTCATGTCCCAAAGTCTGTTGACTTCATCTTTGTAATATCTCCCAAATATGCCTCCTTTTCTCCTCCGATATTGCCCCAACACTGGTGTGGGCCCTCCTCACCTTAGGCTACTTCAATGGCTGCTGGGGGGGGGGTCTGCCTTCCTCAAGACCCACCCCTCTCCAATCCATCCCCCATATTCCTAAAGCATAGGTCTGATCACATCACCCCCCTAGTCAATAACCTCCAGGGGCTCCCCATTGCCTCTAGGATCCAATACAAAATCCTCTGCTTGTCCTTCAAAGCCCTTCATGACCTTCCCCTCTTCTTACAACTCACTCCCCCACACCTATTCTTCAACCCAGTGAACATCGCCTCCTGGCTGATCTACAAATAAGACCATCTCTCTCCTCCTGGCATTTTCTTTGGCTGTTCCCCAGGACTGGAATATTCTTCCTCCTCTCCTCAGACCACTGACCTTCCCAGCTTCCTTCAAGTCTCAAATAAAACCCACCTTGTACAGGAAGCCCACCCCCTCTTAATTCCAGGGCTTTTCCTCTTTTAATGATTTCCTATTTGACCTACACAGAGTTTGATTTGTATATGTTTTATTTGCATGTTGGCTCCCCGTTAGACTGTAAACGCTTTGAGAGCAGAGACTGTCTTTTACCTCTTTCTGTACACCTGCTGCTTAGCACAGTTCCTGGTATACAGTAGGCACTTAACAAATGTATGTTTGTTTGATTGATTGATTGCCAATTAAAATTATCCTGGGCTGGGACTACAGAGATCCCAGTTCAAGTCCCCAGTCTAACGTTCCCTTGCAGGGTGACCTTGCACCTACCACTTCCCAACTTTTGGGCCAGTTTCTTCCACTTAACAATGAAAGGTTTGCAGTAGATGACCTCCAATGGTCCTGCCAGGACCAGAAAAGTAACTCCAACCTATGGAACTCTCTACAGGGGCATCTTGGGGAGTCCCCCTGACCAAGAAGAGCCCAGGGAAGGTGAAGATACACCCTGCCGCTATGCCTAAAGGGCAACAAGAACTCCTGATTTCAGAAGCCCCTCAGCTGAGCCAATGAAGGGGTCCTACAGGTCTGTGCTCCACACTCAAGAGCCCTGATTCCCCAGGGCAGACCCCAGTTCCCAAGGGGAGGCGTCCTTACCCAGGGAGACCAGGTTCCTGTAGTTCTCCAGCATCACATCTCTGTAGAGCTTCCTCTGAGCAGCACTCAAGCATCCCCACTCCTCCCAGGTGAAGTCCAAGGCCACATCCCTGAAGGTGACTGCTTCCTGAAACATCAAACACACTCATGCTAGCCCACGTGCCATATTCTTATACAGCCCTGGTGGGCGGAGAAGGAAATGTTGGCAGTGGGGAAGGGCCTATAACAGACACAAAGTGGATGTAGATGATTTCGAGGTCACATGAGTACTAAGATGGTGGGCTAGATATCTTCTCCAGCTCCTACAACCTCTCAAATGTCCCCCAAAACAAATTATGCACCAAAAATAAAGCTACTTAAGCTGTTTCCATGGTCGAGGACAACAAGAATCTAAAACAATGTAAAAAACAAAAACCCCCAAACCTAGGAACTGATGATCAATGCCCCTAGGCTCACTCAGGACTCCTGCCATACCTCCCACAATACAGGCAATGAAGCTGGACTAGCAGACCCAAGGACATGACACAGGCTTATATCAAATCCTACCCCTGCATCCCTGTTCCCCCTCCCTTTTTCCAGTACTATGAAGACCCTAGCTGCAGGCTGTGTAAGTTATCTTGAGCTTCAACAGCCAGTTTAGTTATAGCCCTTCAGTAGCAAAAGCCTGCCAGGGGCTGCAACCAAGAAGCACCAGTGCTGCAAAGCTCTGAACTGTCCATGCAGGGAAAGCAAGCTCTGAACTTTCACTGCTAGGCTGGAGAACTAAGAAACAGAGAATGGGAAAAGTCACCAGGACAGGAGACCATGAATAGGCAGGTCTGTGTATCATTCCACCAAGCCTGAGGGAAAGAGCCCAGCATCCAGCTGGAGCCAATTCTGACCATCCCAAAATCCATTTGGGCAGAGTGGAAGGAGGCTGAGATGCTTAGACATCTAGCCCCCAAGGAAACCACAAGCAGAGTAGAGAGAGTCAGAAGTGAAAAATAAAGAAATTAAAGAGGTGGTGTGGGGAGGGAAGGCAGAGAGTACCAAAGATTTCAGGAAGAAGAAATCTCAAAGACCCTGAACATAAACAGATAACTCAATAGGAAAAACAGTAAAAACAGAAGGAAATCTGGCCTCCAGATCTAGTAAATGAGTTCAGGTATCATGAATAAATACCGCAGAATAAAGAGACAGTGGAATTTGTGGAATTTTAGGACACAGAGCCACAGCATCCTGATCCTGAGTGTTTAAAACAAAAAATAAGAACTATGAGGGCAGAATTTCTGGCCTGCACAACAAAACTAGGAGAAGGATAGAAAACCTTGAATCTGCCATGGCAAGCCTCTCCAAAGAAACTAAAGAGAGAACAATAGATTAGGAATTCAAATGCACAGACGTGAAAGACAATCCAGAAGTAGAGGAGAAAAAAACAAGAATACTAAAAGAAAAAATGCTCACTATGCAAGCAAAACATTGATAGTATGTATGAAGGCAAGCTAAAGATCCTAAGAAGCTTCCCAGAAGAACATGACAGGACAAAAAAACTTAACATCATAATGAAAGAAATAATAGAACAGAACCATCCAGCCCTTCTAAACATAGAAAATGAAATTCCAATGGAAAGACTTCACATATTGCCTCCAGGAAAAAAAAAAACAACCCAAGGCTGCAAACTCCAAGACACACAGTGGTTACATTTAATAACTCAATTCAGAATCAACAAGTTCTGAAAGCCTTCAGGAGAAAGACCTTCAAATACAAAGCAAATTTGAATAACACAAGAATATTTCTCATCCACTAGAAAATGGAAGAGAGAATGAAAGTATATGATCCAAAGAGCATTAAAGCTCAGGATGCAGCCCCGGGTGACCTATCCTCCAAATGTGACAAAAGATGGATGTTAAGTGAGAAAGAAAAGTTTGAAACATTTTTAGAAAGAAAACCAGAACTGAAGAGGTTATTTGCTTCTGAACACCCCAAACAACAGAAATGCAGGAAGAATGAATAAATGCATCAGGCAAAAAAAAAAAAAAAACCAACAGCAACAGAGGACAAGAGAGAGACCAGGAAGAGACTTCTTTCTAAATGCACACAAGCAGACAGGGTGGAGGTAGAAATCTGGGACAGGAATCAGTGAAGAGGTGGACAGAACCTGGCAACACCCTCCAAAGGTGAACTGATGCTTCTTTTGTGGGACTATTTTTACAACATGGGACAGTACATGAAGATGAAGAAAAGAACAGGGGAATAAAAAGGAGGGATTGATGAACTGGGGTCAAATCAAGTGCTAGCAAAGAGGAGAAGAGCCTGCGGGGGAGTGGATGAGGAGGAAAGCAAAGATGGGAAAGGAGGCCTCACACTGGAGGTGGAATGGGGTTTCCTGATGAATTCTTTTTGCTGGGTGAGGCCTGGAGGATTTGGTGCCTGAAAAGTCCACTTGCTCTGGTAAGTGGGAGCTGGAACTCCAGGGGGCAAATGTCTCCTTGAGGAGAGGGAGGAGAAGGCTTCACTCAGGGAGATCTCCAAGCAAACATAGGGGAAAAAGAAGATGGACAAGGGAGGGGATGGGGGGGAGGGCAAGGTTACCTGACTACAGGAGAGTGCCCTCTTTGATACCTGCAGTAAGTGATGTTGTTCTGACAGTGAGGCACAGTAGAAAAGGGGATCCCTGGGGGAAACTCTTCCAGGCAGCGGCAGAAAGTGCCCACAAGACATAACCTAGAATAGACACCCTGGAAACTTCGATGAGATGACTACAGAGAGAAGAGAGAGACCAGAAGATTATAGGGGCCATGCGGATAATGAAGGGAATGAAAGAAATTCTTTTTTGAAAGGGGTACAAAAGGAAAAATTAAAAGAACTAATGAACAAGACAAGCTGAAGGGGCAGGAGGAAGGCGGAATCTGACTGAGAGAAAAAAGAAAAGGTAGAAATAGATAATCATATAAAAGTAGGATAGAGGAACTAAAAAAAAAAACCCTAAAGGGAAAGGAGGAACAAATAAGAAAGGGGTCAGGGGTAAAGGGAAAAGAGCCAGGGGGGCAGGGTCACCTTAAAAAAAAAAGACAAAAGTAAAGTAACTGAAAAAACAAAATATTTTATTTACAGAAGACTGGGGGGAAAAATCAAAACTTAAAAAAAAACCCAGTCTTGAAGATAGATGAAAGAAAATGGGAACCTAACTCAATTTTAAGTAATCCAATAAAACAAAAAAGAATGACAGGTTGGATAAGAAAACCAAACCCACAATCTGTTGCTTAAAAGAAACACATTTAAAAAACAAAGACATATGCAAAATAAAACTCGAGGAGATGGAAAAAAAATTTACTATGAATCAGGTAAATCCAAAAAGACAGGCAATGCTATCATGCTAGGGGCCAAAGCAAAAACAAACATTCCAAAAATAAAAAGGGACAAACAAAGAAACGATGCCATGCTGAAAGGAACCACAGACAATAAACCAATATTGCTAACAAAATCATATGCTCCAAATGCCTTAATATCCGAATTCATGAAAGAAACATTATCAGAGCTTCAGTAAGACACAGACAGTAATGCAATAGTGACAGAAGACTTCAATATCCCTCTATCAGTCTGGGATAAGTCTAATTGGGGAAAATATGGAAGTGAGCAAAATTCTGTAGAAACTGGAATTAAAAGACTTTTGGTGTCTTCTAAATGGGACAGCAAGAGAAGGTACATATTTCTCTTAACCATATGGGCTTTTTACAAAATATGACCATGTACTAAAGCACAAAGATATTGCAAACACATGTAAAAAGGCAAAAACAGTCAATACATCCTTTAGACCATAATGTAATAAGAATATAAATTGATTTTGGGATCATAAACAAAACATACAGACCCAAATGGAGAATTAACAATGAAATCTTAAATAATGAGCAGACTAAAGAACAAATCATAGGGTGTGATGGAACATTATTGTGCTATAAGAAATGATGAGCAGGTTTGTAGAAAAACCTGGCAAGACTTAAATGAACTGATGCATTGAGAAGTGAGTAGAACCAGGAGAACATTGTACACATTAACACAAACACTGTAATGACGATCAAATGTGAAAGATTCAGTTGCTCTGATCAATACAATGATGCAATACAATTGCAAAGGACTCATAATGAAAAATGCTATCCTCCTCTAGAGAAATAACTGATGAACTCTGAGAGCAGATTGAAGGATATTGTTTTATACTTTATTTTTCTTGCCTTTAAAAATTTTTTTTTGCAACATGGGTAAATGAGAAATATGTTTTTCATAGCATCACATGTATAACTGGTATCATATTGCCTGTCTTCTCAATGGGTATGGAGGGAAGGAGAGACTCTGAAATTGAAAAAATTTTGAAGTGAATTTTCAAAATAAATAAATGAAAAAAATTTTTTAAAAGAAAAAACTACAGAAATAATGAATAACTATGTAAAAGAAAATGCTAAAGATGAAGCAACATATCAAAGTTTCTAAAATGCAGCTAAAGTTGTCCTCAAGGGAAAACTCCTATCCTTACATTCATACGTTAACAAAAGAGAAAAAGAAAAAAACTAATGAACTGAATGTGCACTTTAAAATATTAGAAAATTAACAAATAAGCCTAAAATAAGCACAAAAGAAGAGATATTAAAAATGAGAGCAAACGCATTTGAAACAACCCCCTTCACAAATGATCAAACTAAAACTAAAAGCTGGTTTCTTGAAAAGACTAATAATTGATAAACCCTTGGCTAATTTGATTAAAAAGAAGTGGGCAGAAATAAAATCAATAAAATTGCAAATGAGCAAGGTGAAATCACAGGAGACAAAAGGAAATTTTTAAAAACTGAACATATTATGCATAGTTATGCTGACAAAGGGCAGCTAGGTGGTAGGGTGGAGAGAGGGCTGGGCTCTGGAGTCAGGAAGACTCATCTTCCTGAGTTCAAATCTGGCCTCAGAGTCTTATTAGCTGTGTGACTCTGGCCAAGTCACTTAATTCTGTTTGTCTCCATTTCCTCATCTGTAAAATGAGCTAGAGAAAGAAATAGCAAACCACACCAGTATCTTAGCCTAGAAAATCCCAAATGGGTTCACAAAAAGTCAGATACAGTTGAAAACAACTGAACAGTAACAAAGATGTTAACAAAACTGAAGCCCAAAAGAAATATAGAAATACCTTCAAAAATACAAAATACTCACACTATCGGAAGACCAGCTAGAGATCTTAAATAACCCAATCTCAGAAAAGTTAACAGATCTAGCTGTAAAGGAACTACCAAAAAACCCTGGATCTGATGGATTCCTGGAGAATTTTATCAGACTTTTAAGGAATACTTAGTACCCATACTTTACAAATTATTTTCAAAATCTGAGAAAGAAAGAACCCTACCAGAATCTTTTTTTTTTTTTGGAGACAAATATAGCACTAATACTTAAACCAGGGAAAGGTAAAAACAAGGAAAGAAAACCATAGGCCAATATTGTTTATGAATATTAACTCAAAAATTTTCAACAGAATCCTATCAAACGGATTACAGCAATTTATCCATGAAATCATTTGTTATGCTCAAGCTGGATTTGTGCCAGACATGCAATTTGTATCAGGGATGCAAGGACAGTTCAACATGATGAGAACAATGAGCATAAGGAATCATATTAAAACCCCAAATATGTCCAACCACATGACCATCTGGACAGATGCAAAAAACAGTCCTTGATAAAGTACAACACTTTCTGGGGCAGCGAGGTGGCGCAGTGGATAGAGCACTGGCCCTGCAGTCAGGAGGACCTGAGTTCAAATCCAGCCTCAGACACATAGCACTCACTAGCTGTGTGACTCTGGGCAAGTCACTTAACCCCAATTGCCTCACCAAAAAAAAAAAAAAGAACTGAGGGACAACCTAAATTGCTGGAGGATTATTCAGTGCTCTCATCTAGGCCATGCCAATATAATAAAAAGGACAATACTACCACAATTTATACTTTTAATGCTATATTAATCAGTTACCAAGAGGATACATTATAGAGCCTGATAAAATAATAAAATTCACTTGGAAAAACAAATCTAGAATACGAAGGGAAATGATAAAAGGAAGCAAGGACAAAGGGGGGACAGAGCTTCCAGCCCTCCAGCTATGTTACAATAAAGCAGCAGCACCAGCACTATCCGGTACTAGTTAAAAAGTCATTAAAGTAGTGGAATAGCCTAGACAAGGGAGATTCAGAAGCAGTATCACTCTATAACCCACTGTTTGATAAAATGGAAAACACAACTTAGCTAGAAAAAAGACTCCCTGTTTGATAGAAAAGACTGAGAAAGCAGCCTGGCAGAAATGAGGCTTAGACAAGCACCGTACACCACACTCCACAATGCATTCTAAATGGACACAGGACCTTAATGTTAAAGATCTTACTACAGAAAAGCACGGAAGTACCACACGGACTGACAGAGGGAAGTCAGCGGAGCCAAGAAGACAATCTACACAGTAACTACAACAATGTAAGTGAAAAGAACGATGACAGAGAAAAAATCAAAACTGACCACAACAAAATTTTAAAGATCAAGTGTGACTGGAATGAAGAGAGATGGGAAGAAAGCCTCAAGTTACCATTTCATGGAGGGCGGGGGTCCACAGGGATTACACACAACACATTTTTTCAAACTTTCTCAACTAATTGATCGACTATATAGAATTTTTTTTCTCTCTGAAAACCCCCATTATTTGTCATATAGGATGGCTCTTGGGGAGGGAAATATAAGATATTATAATGATGTATGGTACAGAAAATATCAGCAAAGAATTATTTTTAAAAGAAAAAGAAAGAAATTGTGTGTGAAAGTGTTCTGGAAACAGGGGAAAGAAATGGTGACCTGGCTAATGGAGAGGGGCCTGCCCAGTACTGGGAGGACAGGAGAGCTGGGACCACAGGAACAGGCATTTATACTTAGAGGTCATCCATTCCAATTTCCCTAATGGTGCAGATGAGAAAACTGCGGCCCACGGATGGTATCTGGCTTGTCACAGGTCACGCAGGAAATAAACAGCACAGCCTGGATTGTGACGCAGCTCCTCAGAGCCCACATTCAGCCCGAGACAGCAGAGCTACTGACCTCCTGGTGGACTCTGGGTAAATGACACTCCCTGCCTGGCTTCAGTTTCCAGACTAAACTGAGAGAGCTGGAGCTGATGACCTCCAGGTACCTTCCCTCACAGCCAGGGGTCAAGTCCAGCTACTCGGCAGCTAGTTTTCACTGACTGCCAGGAGCCTCAGGATGGCAGCCTGGCCATGGCAATGAGGGTGTCCTGGGGGAGAGGAGACCCCAACTCACCTCTCCTAGGGCCAACAGACCCCTGGTGGATGCTCCATCCTCCTCTGGGCTGCCCCCTTGGATGCAATCAAGAGACATCAGGCCTGTGGGAAAAAAGAGTAAATAAGCTGGGGGCTGGCTTTTCAATTTCTGAACCAATTAGACAAGACACCACCTAAGAGCAGCTAGAAGTACTCCATCACCCAGGGAGCACCCACATGTGCATGGGTGCATACATACTTATATACATACTCTCTCTCTCTCTCTCTCAGAAGAGACAGTCCTGAAATCTAAGGTCAGACAGCTCTGAAAAGAGATTGGAGGTGAAGTTACAGATTGGGGAATCATCTGCAGAGAAGTGATAACTCAGACATGGAGGGGAGGGAGATCCCCACAGGGAAAAGTGCAGAGCAGGAATTCTTAACATTTTTTGTGTCTTAGACCCCATGGGCAGCCAGTCTGGTGAAGCCTAGGAACACCTTCTTAGAAGCACAGTTTTAAGGTTGGAAATAAAATACATAGAATTGCAAGGCAAACCAATTACAATGAAAGGCAGTTACCAAAATACTAATTTTAAGAAGTCCATGGACTCTAGGCTTAGAACCCCTGGTATAGAGAGAAAGTCCCAGGCTGAGTCTTAGAGGCCTCCTCCTTTGAGGGCTGGGAGATAGAGAACGCAATAAAGAAGAGGGAAAAGGAGGGAGCTGGTGATGGGAGAGGCAGAACCTTGAAAACCAGGGTGGTGAAATGAGGCCAAGAACTGGGTATGTCCCTGGGCCTCACTGATGAGAATTGTCTTGACTTTATACACTCTTGTGAATTTTCTTTGATTTATTCCATTTTTTCAAAAGAGGAATAAGTTAAAGGATATCTTCTAGCTGCTTGACATACATGGTGAGAGTGAGGGCTGGCAGGGAGATGAGAGGAGGGAAGAGCTGGGTGTTAGTGATATTCCATCAGCCCCATAGGCAAAAATGAGTGGAATTCTGAGGTTCCCAGGGGAAAACCTGGCTGGGATGACTAGTCAACATTATGCTCTCTCCACCCCTCCCCACACATATAGACTCAGGAGATCTTCAGTCTTGCTTTATCCACTGGCTCCTTCCCTGTTGCTACAAACATGCCTCAGTCTCCCTCATCCTTAGACAATTATGAATTGTTCCTACCAACCTCTCATCAGATTGCCCTGTATCTCTCTTCCTTTTTGCAGTTCAATTTCTAGAAGGGGCAATCTGCCCTTCTTGCCTGCATTTCCTCCCATTTATTTTGAGATCCTTGGCAAACCCAGTTTCTGACCACAGCACTCATCTCTATGTGAACTCAAGCTCTATCCAGACTACTAACTCCAGTGACCTCTTCTCACTTCTCTGGGGGACAAGGGGAAGGGAATAAGCATTGATTAAGCACCTATTATGTGCCAGGGACTGTGCCGCATGCTCTACAAATAAGATCTCATTTGCTCTTCACAACAACCCTGGGAAGAAGGTGCTCTTTTCACCCCCATATTACAGCTGAGGAAACCAAGGCAAGCTCAGGTGAAGTGACTTGCCCAGAGTCACACAGTTCATAAGTATCTGAGTCCAGATCTGAACTCAGGTCTTCCTGACTCCAGTTCCAAGGCTCTATCCACTGCACCACCCTGCTGCTTCTCCACAGGTTCTAGCAATGACAAACCCTCCCTCCTCTGAGATACTGGGTCATCTTTTGGTTTCAGGGACGACACTGTCTGGCTTTCCTGGTACCAATGAGATTGCTCCTAATGGAGGAACCGCTTCACAAGCATCTATCAAGTACCTACTGTGTGAGGTTCGAGGCCACAAAGACAAAAATGAGATCAGTCCCCTGTCCTCGGGGGGCCTTCCATTCCATTGAGGGAAACAAGATACCCACTCACAAGCAGATGGAACACAGACACAAAGGGAATACCCAGTAAGGTGGGTAGGGGTGGGAAGGGCAGTCCAGAGTCTGCCAGGGAAATGCCAGCAGACG